CTAGTATGACATATGTGACACATTTTCTCCATACATCCCCTCTTCTCTATTTTATCCACCACCCCTCCAGTAAGTATGAAATTAAATATAAATTTCTCACTATAAAATCGTCATTGCTCAGACAAACCATAATTTTTATAGCCTTCAATTTTGTTTAGTTACAGAGCTATCAAATAAAAAATCAGACCCCTCTTGCCCCACCAACCTGTCACATCCTCTCTTTCAGGATTTGTTAATAGTTCTCTCTTACGTTTAATTCTATATTATCTATAACCAATAGAAAGCCAAGGTTTTCATCTATCAAATGACATAATGTATAACATTGTTTTCTGAATAGAGAATTGTCAATTTTTAGTACAAGCTTCGTTCCTACGGGAAAGATAGTGACTAGCTTGGATGAATTTGTAACGGCTTTTGCCACATTGTTAGAAAGCCAGAAAAATTGTGGGTGTTAAAGAAAACTGTTTACTTTTTGCATGCGATTAGTCTATGTTCTTTGGTGCATTATTTGATTAAATAAAAATTATTTGGTGCATTACTACCATTAGTATGAAAAAAGTAGGGTTAAGTGTCATTGACAGCAAGAAAAACGAAATTCAGGTAAAAACTATATTTCTTGTTTTTCATGTGTATTCTTTATTTATTATTATAAAAGTAATTAAATTGTAAAAATATGGATCTTTTTAGGTTAGGTAAGGTTAGATTAGGTAAAATAAATAATAATTAGGTCACTTTATACTATCAAACTATGTTACCTACGTGCATGCCTCATGAAACATTTTCATTATTTTCCATGTTCCCCATGTTATAATTTGAAGTCATTCTAGAAAGAAAAAAGGGTTATAAGATTTATTTCATTTTGTTTTGTTTTTGGTGATTACGAGGTCAGTCAAATTGACCAATCTTGTATAGAGTTAGGGTAGAGTAAATAACATGAAATATAAAGTTTTACTGAAAAACAAAATTTTATAATTTGTTATGTACTTAAAAGAGGTGTAAGTTTCTCTATGTATAAAATAGTCCAGTAATGTAGAAGTTTCAAACTTTATTATCGTAGAATTTACTTTGGTTCATTCACTCGTCTTTAGGATGATCCTGATGTTGGAGAGTATACCTTAGATGGATTAAGACAAGTTATGTCAATCAAAAGCAAAGTGGTTCTTCCTTACCTGATTCCACAGGTATGTGCTTTCTTTTGTGTTGTTTGTCAGGTGTTATTTCAGTAAAAGTGTTGTTTTCTAGTGATAAACATAATAACATAATGTTATCTCACATTAGTTACACATGGGCAACATAGTCTTAATTACACTAGCAAACAGTAATACTGACTAGTATAGCATTAATTTCATGATGAGATAAGGTAAGTTATGGACTCCCACAGTCTACGAAGCACTGAGAGAATCCTGAAGATTGATTCTCTTCTCCAGCAGATTCAGTGCTGTTGGAGTCCGTAATCCCCAGTAGTACTGACTGGGAGATTGAAGTATATCAATAACATGGAAGCGAGAAATATTGTGTAGAGGGGATTATCTCGGAGAAACGGTCGTGTATTTATTCTCATTTGAACTACTAGTTTAACCTTTGTTGATAAACAGTAGATTAAATTATATTGTGCAAGTGGTTGTCATAAATGATACGAATAACTAAACAGTTTTGACAACTTGGAGACAACTCTCTTAAACGTCACTTGCCAGTTGTTAACTGAATTGTAAAAACTTTTGTCTCATCATATTATATGTACTAAGTAAAATTTTACCATGTCATTAACTCAAGAAAGTTAATGTAATGTTATCTATGTACACACCACTAACAGTTTATACAATTTATACACCAATAACAGTTGAATTTACTTGTTTATACTGTATCAATTTATACACCAATAATAGTTGAACTTACTTGTTTATACTGTATCAATTTATACACCAATAACAGTTGAACCTACTTGTTTATACTGTATCAATTTATACACCAATAATAGTTGAAATTACTTGTTTATACTGTATCAATTTATACACCACTAACAGTTGAAATTACTTGTTTATACTGTATCAATTTATACACCAATAACAGTTGAACCTACTTGTTTATACTGTATCAATTTATACACCAATAACAGTTGAACCTACTTGTTTATACT